TTAATATTTTTCCCTCCAAAAACCGTTACTTTTTTATGTATTTAATCTTTCATTTAATTATTAAATAATAAATACTAATCACTTCAAATTACAAAGCACTCGGCAGACTTAAATCGATGAGAGGACAAACACCAAAATAATAATAAAGTAACCGCACCTTAAATCGCCGAAGGAGGAGCGCAACGGCCGTCAGTCGGACAAGCAGCAATTAGTCAGAATTCGCAGGAGGTGGACAATTCACTCTCACAATTTAACTGAATCTAAACATGACTCTTTTAAACCGAACTAAGCACATAAAAGCAAATGAATTCGGCCAACAAAAGTACAAAGGAGCTCAACCATTATACCTCCATCAGGAATTAAAATGGAAAAGAAACCTGTTTCTTCCACCCCTTTTCCAAAAATCGCAACACAAAAATCCTAAAAACCGCAACACATTTTAACTAAAAAAATACTAAAAATAGCAAAAAAAAAAAGAAAACAAAATCGATTAAAAGCTTCGAAATTTGTTTCGCTGGAGAAGAGAGCTTCAAAATCGCCGGAGCTTTAGCATAGAGGAAGAGAGATGAAACAAATCGATTGACTGCGGTAAAGAAAACCCTAAAAATCGCAACACAAAAAGAAAACAAAAAAAACAAACCTTGTTCCGCCGGAGAAGAGAGCTGAGATTGAAAGCTTCGAAAAACAATAGAGCTTCTTGTTTGCCGGAGAAGAGAGAGCTGGTCGCAGAGAGAGCAGCTTTCGAAAGCAGAGAGAGAGAGAGAGAGAGAGAGAGAGAGAGAGAGAGAGAGAGAGAGAGAGAGAGAGAGAGAGAGAGAGAGAGAGAGAGAGAGCGAGATGCAAAATGGAAGCGGGAGGCAAATGAAAAAATTGAAAATATGTGAAAATTAGAAAAGATGAAAAAGGGCAATTTGGTCTTTTTGCAACTCAAAATTGCTAGATTTCATCTTTTTAGAAAAGATGGCTGTTGATATCATTTTCAGTAAGCCAAATTAAGTGACGTTAATCCGCCGATTGGGGTCAGTATAAGGATAATCAAGATTCATGCAAGCACGTGACGCTTCCATCGACTTCAAGACGACTACACGATGAAAGATTCAACAAGAACCGATATCTCTATTATTTGACCGATATCACATGTCGGTCAACACATGTCGGTCATTACATGTCGGATACAACATATCGGTTATAATAGGATGAACCGATATCTATAACACGCCACCTCAGCATTGTAAGGCGGCGACAACTCAACATAAGTTATCATTACGTTTGTCCAAGTGGCGAGTTATCAAGAAAAGCAGCTAGATTCATGATTTTTCATTAATAGCTCATTATTTTGTTCAGCCAACAACAAACAAGAAATCAGCTCAGAATATTTCTCAAAACCTTTTGCTCGATATTGTTGTTGCAA